ATATAACCAAACTTATAATACAAACTATTCAATACTTGTCAAATGTAATAAAATCTGCTATTCCGGGTGCCGTTCCTAAATGTAAGTTGAATAATTCTAGGATTTAATACGTATTTATTTCTAGAATATAATTTTCGTGTTAAAAAAAGACACATTGCGATTTTCAAAAACTTATAGTGCACGATTATCTGTAACATCATATTTTAGAGGCAAAGATATGAAAGCAGATAAATCTTGTAAAATCTATCTGTTCGAGTTTGCTGAAAGTAATAAAAAAATTCAGTTTTATATATAGCCAAAAGTATCATATATATATATATATATATATACATACATTAGTTATTTATTCAAAAACATTTGGTCCAACAACGTGTTCCAGTCTCTGGTGATCCTTATCCATTTCCAAAGAGATGCTACCTCCAGACTTCTTCCTCCAGTGCCCATTACTCTTCCTTTAACTGTCACCTCTTTCTACTTCTGGCTTCCATCTTGTCTTCTTTCGTTTGATTACCACTACTTCATAGCTAACCATTCATTCAGTCATTAATATTTCCTGTTTAATCACATCGTTCCTCGCACACCCAAGGTTTTAGTTTATGACAAATTTTGTCTGAATAATTTATCACTAAAATTATCTAGCTAAAACTCTTCTTGACAGATTAAGCGTTTTACTAAATAGAAGAGTTTCAAAATATTCTAATTTTTGACTTCTTTAATTGGATTTAAAAAACCTGACTATTAAACTAATCATATCCCTTTCCTGATATTTCTGTCAATCGCATGTCTTGCATTTGTTTCAGTTATTAAGTTTATTCTAGAAGAACGTTATACAAGCTGAAAATTCTATAATTAACAGACGAAACATCCATTTTGTATATTTACATTGAAAAGAAAGTGATGTAATTGTAATTGTGCGTGAATGAGAAATGTACATCAGTCTTTAAATATGTATATGATTTGTCCTTCGTTATTGAAAGGCAATTCAATGAAGTATATTAGTTATCGTGGTTTTATTAAATGCTACAAAATCAATACAAGAAACTCATCATGGATGTTCATTAACTCAACCTTTCAACGTTTTCTAATCAACAATAAATGAGAAAACATTTCATAAACAACTGAAATAAGATTCTTGGAATCCATGTTGATTAAACAATTTCCGCGAAAAACAAACAAAATCTATCACGAACTGGAGTTTAAAAATTTGTGAGATTAACATAAAAACTAAAACAAGATATGTCTGTTGGTACACGTTGTGACATGAAATATATTTCGTAAATATCTAAATTCATCTTCTAGCCTAAAAGAACGCAAGAAAAAAAATCAGATGTTTTAGGCTACGCTTAAATAATTTCACGAATATTGTAAGAAACACATTGATTATTGCTGAAAAAAAAACAAGATTATTAGGAATATGATTTCATGCATAATGTTGTTTAAGTTTTAATATACAATTGTGCTGTATCTGCTTAACTCACTTAATAGTTGCTATAACATGGAAAAGTAACGAAACGGTTTTTATCTGTTTTATTAGACATTTATTATTCTTGACTGTTTCATTATACAGTGGTAAAATGCAGAGGGGAGGACGTACATATATTCAGAATATTTTCGATACAATTTGATTAAAAGAGTCTTTATCATGAGAAATGGTTCTTCTTTTTTTTTTTTTTTTGGAACCCGAGTAAAAAGGTTTTACAGTCGTAGCAGATAGTAGACTCAAATACATAAAATGGTTTTTAATTCTGTTTACCTGCTTCCATTTAAGTTATTTTCTTTCGCACAAAATTCCTTAGGGATTTTTTAGAGGCAGCCACCATAAAACTAGACGAAATACTTGTTGAGTTCTAACATCACAATAGTTCTAGAATTCTTCTAAGAGGCTCGTTGCAGACATTTTATTACTCTTAACACAGTACGATTTATTTCATCGTTATTTTTATTTTGTTGTTGTTGTTCAACAACATGGTTAAGCTTTTCGAACCTTATAGAGTTCTTTATTACGCTTTGAATCGAGATTCTGGGTTTTGAACACTACGTGAGTTGATGTATATTTCAAGACATCTCTGGAGTCTACAAGTTCTTTTTCTATTGTGCATGTTTTCTTTATTGTTAGACAATGGAACTATGTTCCTTATTTCTAAAATTTCTATTGATTTCTTTGCTATCCTGAAATTATCACAACTCCTTAATCTTTTTTATTCTTTTTTTTCCTTTCGTCATAACTAAACTTAATTGCATTTTGTTTATTTTGAGCAGAATTTTTTCTTCATTTAAACAAATTACTTAAAGGTTTGAAACTGAAACCTTGTCATTATAAAAGCTATAAAATTTTAATATGCTCTTTTAAACGGTATTTCTTTCAGCGAATTAAATCTAACATGTGTCAGTCATGCTGTCTTTGCAAAGATTAGTATGTGAAATTTAATTGTAGGGTAAACCATGGTTTTGATTGTTGCATTAAGTTTATATTAATTAAAATAATCAAACCCAGAGCTGATCAAAACCCTTCTATTTATTTTGAAACCACAGGATCCGAATGTTTATTTGTTGTTGTTGTTATTCTTGCTTATATTGGCTCTTATGTGCAATATAACAGCGTCATCTTGTTTTACATGGCACCAGTCCATCCACTGTGTCAGGGTTTCAGTTCCTTTAAAGTAGGTTATTAGGATGTGGAAGGCTCACAGATGAAGATGATGTTCTAAACTAGGTTGTGTTCAGTACATTTAATATTGTAATAATAATCTGAACTACCTGAACTTTATTACCTGGCTAGTCGAATATTTTTGTTACCTGAATTTATGCTTACAGCTGATACTCTCGTTATTTTGTTGTCTTCTGGTAAGCAGTGCTTTTATAACTTATCAGTCTCCAATCATCTGGTGTTATTTTAACCTGCCTGCTAACATATGGGACTTTTTAACTCGTATGTCTTTAAGCACCTCGTGTCTTTATATAACCTATCTGGCTACTAGTATTCAGACGTATATATTACTTTGGTATCCAATAAAAACAGATGTCTTGATTACGTACCCGTATGTTAAAATTTGGTGCTTATATTGTCTCCTTGTCCGCTAGCATCAAAACCTTTATTAATTGCTTTTCTCGTAATATCTGATGTCCTTATTATCTATCTCACAGATAAAAACAGATCTAGTAGTTTTATTACCAACCTATTCACTAAAATATCATATTCAGTACCTTTGTTACATTTGATAAAATCTCGTTTTTTATTACCTGCCTGTTGTTGACCTTTAGTCCTGTTATAAGCCCTCTATCTGATAACGTCTGGTACATTTATTGAACTATCTGTCTCCTAACGTCTGTATTTCTAGTAACGTTTGATTCCTTACTTCCTGGTTGTTTACTGGGGTGTAATGTCTTTAATACTTAGCTGTCTGCTGAGATCTGGTGCCTTTATTTCCTGGTTGTTAGTTAACATCTGAAGTCTATTCCCTTTATTATTTGTCTTTCTACTAATACTTGGTACCTATATTTCTTGTTATCTTAATGATATCTGGAGCTTATATTACATAACTATATGCCGACATGTGTTGACTTAATTAGTTAGCTGCCTGCTGACATTTAATGACTTTGTCCATAATGTACAGAAAATTTTTTGTTTACAAATTATAATAACTGCAGTAAAAAAACTTCAAATAAGTGCATTCTGTACATTATCATGATAAAACTTGTATAGATAAAAAATAAAATAAAATCAATTACAAACATTTTCGACATATAAAATATACAGTTAACGCTGTAAAACATTAATGACTGTTATTCTTTTACTAGCCAGTGAGCTTATCTCATTAATAATCACATTTAAAGGTTCATTTGTTTCAATCGTAAGCAAATAAGAAAGTATGTACACATACGTCTCTTGTTCCTATATTTTGGGCTGGGCATGACTTAGTGGTGAGCAAGCCGGGCTGTGAATGAGAGAGTCCTTGGTTCACGTTCCTTTGGAGCCATGAGTGCATCATAAGAATGACGGTCAACTCCCATTGTGCGACTAGAGTATCACTAACGTCGGCAGTGGACTCGCTGCATTTTCTTCAGCAGAAAGCCCCCCCCCTGTGCGTCAGCGGTAAGTTTATGGACTCACAACGCTGAAATACGAGGGTTCGATTCCCAGAAATGGGCAAAGCGTAGATAGTCTATTATGTAACTTTGCGCTAAAACAATCAAACAAACTCTTCAGCAACGTCAAATGAAAATACAATAACATGTGTCATGTTATTGGATTGTACAGTAGCTTATAGCACACACAGTACAAACGTGAAACTGGTCTTAGCATTTCTGCTTCTCTCTAATTTGTTAGAGACGGCTAACTCAGATAGCTTTACGCGAATATCTGAAAAACAACAACAAATACCTGCACTTTGCTCTTCGATGGATTTTCCCAATTATCTCTAATTATGATAACCAGCAATACGTGTCTTCAAAGTAAATATTCATCTGGGAAGCTTTCAATCGCAGTAAACAACCTACACATTGTCCAGTGTTAATTTAATGAAATATTAATCTGAAAAGCAAAACTTGATATTTTAAATATGACAAATATTTATTGGTCCATATGTCAGCGAAATTAATCAATACCCTTTAAGTGCGAGTATATGTTCCCAGACACGATTGCCCAAAACATAAAATATCGGGATGTGTAGCTACTCTAGAAATATTTACGTATGTGAATCTGGTTCTGTATACAGATAGACAAGATTCACCAGGAAACTAAAAAACGCTGCTCTAGAAATATTTACGTATGTGAATCTGGTTCTGTATACAGATAGACAATACTCACCGGGGAACTAAAAAACGCTGTTCCAGAAATATTTACGTATTTGAATCTGATTCTGTATACAGATAGACAAGACTCACCGGGGAATTAAGAAACGCTGCTTTAGAATCTAATCTACCTATAAACACAATGCTACTTTCGTATATAGCTTTATCTAATACGAAATATATTATGGTGATGATTTTCACTCAATTTTATCTTTACCGAATTCAATAATGAGAACCCATAGCTGAACAGCTCAGAGCCCCACAGTATATTACTTATCTGTTTTTCAGAACTTCAGAGGTTCGTTTTATAAGATATTAAATCTTAGGCTGAGAGGATTTATAAGTTTGCCAGTCACCATTTGTACTGACATCAGATGTGCTTGCTCTACACTAGCCACTTGTACTGTCAGTACTGTGAGTCACTGAAGCTGTTACTAGAGAGATTCTTGTTCATTAATGAGCAGCGGACTCGTTTGTTTGGACAGCAGATAGATAATGAAAGGAACAGCATACACGTGGATCTAGATCCTGGCTCAGAGATATAACTCTTTTACCTGTACATAGTTCATAAAGAAAGGGTCGTAAATATCAAATTATCTTTAAAAGTAAGGGATAATTTGACATAAATTCATTGGATATAGATCATCAACGAAAAAAGAAAAGGGAAACATGTTTACTGTTTTTTTAGGTTGTCATGACTATAGAAATTTTAAAAGTACCACACAGTTCCTTAAAATTAGAAATTTGCTAAAGAAAGTAAAAAATGTAAGCCAAAGTCGTCTTTTATAGAACACACTGAGTTTAATCGAATCGAATGTTATTAACACTCATCAACAGGTGCCTTCAGATAGAGACTCTTCAGGGAGTGGCTAGGAACTAACATTACAGCAAAAACTATCGTTAACAACCGGAGTATCTAACTGACGATTCGATGTAATTTAATTATTATACGTTTAGTTTCCTCAATATTTGATTATTATATTTCTAGTTTGTTTATCATATAATACTGTTTTATTAATGCATATTTATTTTTATGTTCTGGTCTAGCTGGAATGATTTTCATTAGAATTTCTCAATAATTAGAAAATCTGTTAAAAAACATCTGCCAAATTTTTACACCTGACTGAACAGGAAAAAAAGTAAATAATCAGTTTTAGCCGGACATGTTGTTGTTGTTTGTTATCAAGCACGGAACTACACAAAAGGCTATCTATGGTCTGGCCACCACGGGTATCGAAACCCGATTTCTACTGGTATAAGTCCGCAGACATACAACTGTGCCACTGGAGGGACTAGCCGGACATTTTGTGTCATGGAAGCTCTATCTTCTGGGCTAGCTTATTTTAATAAAATTAATCCTTTTCGCTGGCAATGTACGTATAATTAGTAGACTTTGAGAGAATTTAATGTTGTCTCCATACAGTATTACTTACAAAATATTGACGTCAGAATAGAATTTATTCACAGAAGATACTGAAAGAGAAGAAAGAGTCCGCACATATACAATTGAGTAGTTAAAAGCTATATACTCCAAAGTTAGAATCTGAAGCCATAAGAATATCAAAACGCGTCTTCAAAAGCGAAATTATTCATTGTGAATAAATGTCTAGAGCTTGGATCTAAGCAAGCAATCGATATCACTACAAGACACCGTGTCAGACTTCTTGTACAACACTACGTGATGTATCCAACCAGCTACAAAGTTATAATAATAATAACGTTCTCGCTGCTGGTCTGCCCTTCGTTATTAAACTAGATAAAATAAGTTATGCCAGGCTACTCTAGGAGTCTAAAGCTCTAATCTTTTGTATTCACTTCCTGCTGCATCATTGATCATCAGATGATTAAAATGTGAACAGCAAAACGAATGTTCTGAAAGTTATCCATCATAGCCTTTTTACTCAGAATGTTAACAGTTGCATCCTCAGAGTTAATCTGACTATTAGACAAATTGGTCAGGGTCACAGATAGTTAGTTAGTCAAGAGTTTTTGATGTGTTCATCTGCGATTTCGTTCTATTAATCTGAGTTCTCTACAGAGTTCGTCCCTACTGTATTTGAATAGTGAACGCAGATAAATTGTAAGGAAACGACGTTACAGTGGATACATTATTATGAAACACGTGATGACTTCCTGAGGGGTACACATATTGCATCATGTTACGTAATTCTCCGTTTATCCATGTTATAAAGCCCAGTAAATAACTGATGAAACACGCTGAGTGAAATCACTCATTTCCAATGTAAATATATATATATATATTTAGACGATCCTATTGAAGGTATTTTTGTTTAAAGTTTTTGTGACACTAATTTGTTTGTTTGTTTTGAGGTTAAACACAAAGTACACGAAAGGCTATCTATACCCGGTTTCTAGCGTTGTAAGTCCGCAGACATGCCGCTGTGCTACTGGGGGCTGTGCCACTGATATATATTACTAGATGTACTTCCGGATGGTCCCTGAAAGTGTTTTGTTTCAAAAATAAATAAAACCAAAATTAAGAGTAACAAATGTTTTTTTTTTCTTGCGTTTGAAGTTCATATGTCATGCTGTGTTGTAGCCTACAGAGTTCATAATTATTCTTGTGATCCATGGCATGTGCACATTTTAATGACGTCACCACAGTACAGTTTGCAACGTTAAGCGTCTCTTATGTGACGTCATTTTACTGTCTATTGACTGACTGACAGACAACACATTATTATATAGGTGATCCCTTCAAGCGGCCTTCAGCTCCCTTTCAGGGAAAAAAATTGTTTATGAATAAATCAACGGTAGCTTTCACTTTACTTCTCAAATAAAAGGTTAAATTTATACCCAGTGTTTCGTCCGTAAAATTATAGGCCCTGTAATCAACAAATTCGTGGATCCATAAGCAATTTGGTACATGTTTAGCTTAAAAACAAAATATGTTTACAAAGCCGATAGAATCAACATAAACTCTAGGATTTCATTAACCTCAAAAGCAAGTGATATAAGTTCGCGTATTACTGTGCATTGTGTGTAAACACACTGTATCCATCATCCTAAAACTTCAAGGATGGCATAATATA